AATGCTTTATAGATATAAGGTGTGGTTTTGTATATTTCATTTTAATACATATTCAACCTACAATGGTTAAAAATGTATGGTATTTCCTTAAACTATTAATTTGTGGATGAATGACTGAATACAAATATAAAACTCAACAGTATTGATGAACAGTACATTATGTTCTTTTACGAATAAAAGAATCAGCATTTAATTTACACACGCAACCACCCGTTCAATAAATCATCCCTCAAATACACCAGACAATCATTTAAGACGCCCTTTTATTCACCCGGACAATAGAGACCGTTGTTACATCCCTTCATGGTCAATTATACTTTATGATATACAGATAAATAACCCCAGGACTCTCGCTGATTGTGTCAGTCTCTTCGTAATGACATTGTATCATAACAGTCCGGATAATCGTATTCACCAGATATATAGGTGTTTGAAGTCTTAAATTGTTATGGCAGAGTGTGAATTCCTTCACATTTACTAAATAGGATTAGATCCTTATCAAGCGATTTATGGTTAAGCTACGAATTAAACAACTATTGACCTTTAGCTTAAAACACATTTTTCATTTTAATGAATAAAATACTTATCAGGATAAACATTTTGAGGTAATAGAGGCTTTGCACTGATAAAAATAGAATTATGAAAATATTATTGGTAAAATGAAATCCTTACAATAGAATATTAAGATATCAAGAGAAAATGGCTGTAAACAATAGAGCATTGACACGACTGGTGATAATTAAAAAATCACCTGCATAACTAAGAAGGTACTTCATTCAGCGAACAAAAGAACATGGAGAAAATTTATGTAAAGAGCAAAGCAGGAAACACAAAATAACAATCTTCGTTATAATAGAACAATGGAGAAACTTTCAAGTATAGCCATATATAGAAAATCGTTTCTTAAGAAAGCATGCATTTAATAATATAATTCTCGGTTCATATATTTGGTTTGCATAAATTGATTATCCCTTTACACTTTGATATCCTTCTAAATAATCTCCCAATTTGAAGCTGTATTTCAGCGAACAAGTTCTATTTTCTGGAACAGTAACCATATTTTGAAATTTATTTTCCTGGAAGAAGCCAAGCAACATTATGAAGAAGAGAAGAACAAGCCAGGCAACAGTAATTAGAAGAGAAGAACGAGCCAGGAACAGTAATAAGAAGAGAAGAACGAGCCAGGAACTGTAATAAGAAGAGAATAACGAGCCAGAAACATTATGAAGAAGAGAAGAACGAGCCAGGAACATTATGAAGAAGAGAAGAACGAGCCAGGAACAGTAATAAGAAGAGAAGAACGAACCAGGAACAGTAATAAGAAGAGAAGAACGAGCCAGGAACATTATGAAGAAGAGAAGAACGAGCCAGGAACATTGTGAAGAAGAGAAGAACGAGCCAGGAACAGTAATGAGAAGAGCAGAACGAGCCAGGAACAGTAATAAGAAGAGAAGAACACCGTGCGAATCTTCATCGTTCTATCACTTTTATGTTAAGTTTATCTTTGTTTTGATCGGTTTGAATTACACGACACAACGTCTATCAGTGCTCAAGTTTAAGAAATCCAATATCTTTGATGACTATCGGTGTTATTGACAAAGGTTTGCTGTTTTGTTGTGGAATCGTGACAAATCTACACGATAACAGACATATGATATGATACTGACAGGTACCAATAAAAAATGCATCACCTGATAACCCGCTAAAATAAATATTTGATAGGAATGTAGTTAGATAACAGCCATGTACTTGGATGGAGAGTTGTCTCATTGACACTCATACCACATCTTCTTATATCTATATGTTACTCAAAATACTTTTAAAATATCCAAAAACATAAACCCGGTAACTCTTTATTTCTGAGAAATATTATGAATTTAATTGGTTTGTGCTTTTCAAATTCTGAAAATCCTAAATATAAGTTTTGCGTTTCATTTTTTTTTTCTCCCTATAAAACGAAGAAACCTGCTAAGACGATTCTGACAATCAATTAATGATTCACACATCAAAAACACAAAACTCATTCCAAAACCCCGTATATTAGTTGTACATACCTCACAGTAATCCAAAGGTGTTGTTTTGGTGGGTGTCACTAAGGGAACAAAATCGGCTTATCCTTTTGGAGTTTTTGTTGTATTATATATAGTGTGTGTGTGTCGCTCAACCTTTATATGTGTGTGTAGTGATTTGTAGACCATCTTTTGGTCATGTCCCTGACTTCCTTATTCACTTGCGATTACGACATGTTTTCCTTTCGTGAAACGGTTAGCTTGGGGCTTCTGCAGAAAGGAACGTGCGTCTGGTGTACGAAATCATAAGCCTTGTATCTCTGATGAGTTTTGTTGAAAGAGGGGCGTGTTGGTGTGGGTTGTTAAACCCATTATTTTATGTTAAATACATTTGTTGTCAGTGTCCCTATATGATGAGTTTGAGTGTGTTTTTACTAATACATCATATGTCTGGCAAGCTTAACTTATTTTTTGTTTTTATGTTTTATCAAATATGCAACAAAAAATCTATTCCTAATCAATACAATTGCCAAATAATGATCCTTATCATTTCTATTTAACACCATTTAAACAAATGCAATACCAATACATCAGACAGCAAATTTAAGATTAACCAATACATCAGACAGCAAACTTAAGATTAACCAATACATCAGACAGCAAACTTAAGATTAACCAATACATCAGACAGCAAACTTAAGATTAGCCAATATATCAGACAGCAAACTTAAGATTAACCAATACATCAGACAGCAAACTTAAGATTAACCAATACATCAGACAGCAAACTTAGGATTAACCAATACATTAGACAGCAAAATTAAGATTAACCAATACATTAGACAGCAAACTTAAGATTAACCAATACATTAGACAGCAAACTTAAGATTAACCAATACATCAGACAGCATTTCAACAAATGCAATACCAATATATCAGACAGCAAATTTAAGATTAACCAATACATCAGACAGCAAACCTAAGATTAACCAATACATCAGACAGCAAACTTAAGATTAACCAATACATTAGACAGCAAACTTAAGATTAACCAATACATCAGACAGCAAATTTAAGATTAACCAATACATCAGACAGAAAACCTAAGATTAACCAATACATCAGACAGCAAACTTAAGATTAACCAATACATTAGACAGCAAACTTAAGATTAACCAATACATCAGACAGCAAACCTAAGATTAACCAATACATTAGACAGCAAACTTAAGATTAACCAATACATCAGAAAGCAAACTTAAGATCAACCAATACATCAGACAGCAAACTTAAGATCAACCAATACATTAGACAGCAAACTTAAGATTAACCAATAAGATTTCAATTGAAAAAAAGGAGACGAACTAAGGCTGCTCTTGGAGAATAGGCAGTTCTTGTTCCACTTATTGTGTTCATAGTGTTCCTGTATTTAGTGAACGAGCAAAGAAGGACTGTCAGAACTGAAGTGATGATGACGAATAAAAACACTTTACGGACCATTGGAACCAAGTATGTCTTGTTTTCAGCGACCTTCTTTCAAGGGAAATATCAATCATGACAAATAATAAAAGCTCTAGAAATCGTATCAATTGACAGGTATATACTACTTAACCAAGCGCTTTACTGGTATTCATTTGGAAATTCTACGATAAGATAATTGAATTTTGGATCATCTTTTTAAAGTCTTAATTTTGTTCTTAACAGGCCATCATATACCGGTATATAGTTAATGTATATGAGTAGCAGTATAAGGGAATTATTTTGAAAAAATAATAAATAATTATCATTCCCAATTATTTCCCTCATTTATATGCCTAACCACTGCCAAAGGTTGGGAATGTTTGAAACTGATGAGTATATTTAGTTGCGTATGATACTCCTGTCCATATCCTAGTAGGTCAGTATTTTCCCCCGTCCTTTTATACTATTTTTTCGCATTGGGTTTGACAATTATTGAAAGCTTGTGGTTCCCTACAGAATTTTATTATATATATATGCATATGGTAGTCCCAGATTTGGTCTTTGGTGCATCTATAGTTCTCTCATAGGTGATCATATCAATTTCTTATATTTTTATTGAAGACCTGATCTGCAGAGATTTGAGACCTTTAATATAAAATATCAAAACAAGTAAATTCACATATTGACATTTCAACAGATTTTTTTTTTATTAAACAGAAATATGAAAAGAACAATAAATTTGAAATAAAATGCAATAAACTAGTATTTAGAATTCAAATTTCCTCACCACTGCCAATCTGAAAAAATGATCAATCTATACATTTGATTTCGTTATCATTACATTGATTATTAAATTCATTAATTCTAATCAAAATATTGAAAATTATTTGATAAATATCAAAACTATTAAATCGACTTTAATATAGATCATTTAAACATACCGATATAATTAATCTGGAAGGTTTAATATTTAAACAAATATTAGCTCCTGTCATCCATATAAATATTTACATATGATTTTAAATCAAAGTCAATACATGTAACTTGAGGGTACAGGATACCATCTTTTAATTCTTTATATATGTAGTCATTACTAATTCAGATCTGGTAATGACAGTTACAGCTGTCGGCTGATCACAAATATGTTACTGAATTTAATATAAACATCCAATTAAAAGCAGATTGCAGTGCAAAGTTATGGGCGAAAAGAGGGAATCTTCAACTTTCATTGGATTATTTTGTATACTGAATGTGAAATAAAATAACAATTCATTCCCTTTAAAAGACTTGTTAAATTCTAGCAGAAATTTGAGAAGTTTTGTAAGGCATTTTTCTGTCTTGAGTTTTCCAACATGGAATGTTTATATCATTAACTCGTCAAATAATGTTTCTTACTTTAAATTCTACTGTAAAATGAATAAATGTTATCTTCAAATAACCCTGGTATGTTGACAGGGAAATCAATAAAATGACTTCCATTGTTTTCCAACAAAAATATTTACAAATCAGCAGACGATTGGACGCAGAAATTGTTTACAATGTTCATATCTTATATAATTTAAGCAGGTCTGATAATCCTGATAAAAATATTCAAGGGAAAGTAGTATCTGATTGAAATAACGTTATCCAAGAGCATTCGACTGTGCAGTTATAAATACCCCGACAGAGGTCGCTGTTTTAATCTATACATAACACAGAGAAACATTAACGATGAAGGATGCACGTTCTCGTTGGAGATTTACTTGGAATATTATTAAATAGAAATGAAATTAACTTCAATTTGGGTCAACAATGTTTCATAACATAAATGTGAAAGTTTATGAAACAATTTTAGAACTTCTTTTAATATTTTTGGGATGTAGCAGATTAGTTTCCTCGGCTTGTCCGGGGATTTGTTTTTGTCCACCGTTGAGTGACAATGTTTTTTGTTCGAGAAAAAATCTCCCGTTTATTCCAAGCGGAGTGTCCCCGGATACTGTGCAACTTAACATGAACGAGAACAATTTTCTAACACCTATCTTATTCAGGAGTAACTTTTCTACATACACAAAATTAGAGCATCTTTACATCAGTAGTTGTGGAATAGAAAGAATAGAAGTGGATACATTCGCAGACTTGACCAAACTACAATGGCTGGATTTAAGTAAAAATCGTCTTAAAGTCATTCAAGATTACTCGTTCCGCGGCCTAACACTGGAACATTTATTTCTCAATGATAATCCAGGAATGCGAATATCGAAAAACGCATTTGTTGGATTACGGACTATGGGATTATATATTCACAACTGTGCAATTTCTCAACTATCACTTGAAGTTATTAGACCAATGAACAGGACATTAAAATACTTATGGTTGGACGGAAATAAGTTTGAGAGTTTTCAAATAGATTGGTTGTATGTTTTTAGAACATTAAGCCATACAAGACTTGCTGGGAATCCACTTCATTGTAATTGTGAGGTAGGTTGGTTATTTGAATTTTACAAGAACAATTTAAAAATGTTCACTGGAGTAGATCCTCCATCCTGTCGCACTCCATCAAGACTCAGAGCCAAAAATTTTAATGAGCTATCCGCTGAGGATTTCCGTTGTCAATTACCAGTTTTCAAAAAGGTTGATGCCATTTTTGAGGAGCAAGTAGGGAAACTGAACTGTGTAGCTACAGGAGATCCAGTCCCAACAATACAGTGGCTGAAACCAGGAAACGGAGTAGAAACTTTCAAACCAAAGGCTAAGGCAGATTCTAATGACAATTACGGAATTTTGTACTTATCCGATCCCCAGGCAACCGAAGATTTGGTGTACAAATGTGTTGCTAGCAATCCGGCGGGGAATGTAACATTCTCCCTTAATGTCGTATGGCCGCCGAAATATTCCAGAGACCAATTTATAATAAATACACCAAAACCTACACCCCCACCGACTTTACCACCGACAAAAGCAATTCTGATTCCTGACCCCGAAACACTAGAAAAAGACAAATCAAAAGATAAGGAAAAATTAGACAAAATTTCAAAATCAAACAATGAAAAATCAGACATTCTGGAAAAATCAGACAAACAGATAAGCCCTGGAATTGAGACGCCAAAGAACACAGAAAATTCAAAAGATGATGCTTATGTTATCAACGCTAGCAAATCTGGAATGAGCATGAAAAGAGAAACAACTATTGATGGTGGATTTTCATTAACTGACATTATTGGTGCAGTCGTTGGAACATTCTTATTGACATTACTTGCGTGTATCGCCATATTCCACGTCGTCAATCGTCGATATAATCATAGTCTTATGTACAAATCTCAAAATGGATTACAGGAAAAACAGACTAACAATCATATAATTGTTGACGCACGAACAGAGCATATGAAAATGTTACAAAATAATATCTGAACAGGAAAAAGAAATTCGGTACTAAATCCTCAGGGAAAATGTGTTTCTGTTGAAAGGTGCTTTAACGGAGTAATATAGGAGGTGCAAAATTCTAGTCAGGATAAAGCACATATATACAAAATATATAAGGCCGAACATTTATCAAACTAATAAATTTATTGTGGAGGATTATTAATTTACGGCACTCATACTGTCATATCTTAAGTTTAACAACCGGCCATAAGGGTAAATGAATGTCAGTTTTACTTAAATTGGCCATAAACATTGATTGATGACCGGAACGTGCCCTAACATACTTACATGCTTCTTAAACGTACATGTATATAACTGTGTATTTATTTAGTTAATTAAGAATGTACACTATGGAACTATTACTCTAGTCGTCTGGTTAACATTGTTTATATACGTTAGAGAATAATTTTGTGTATACGAACTACTTCGAATTTGGGAGACATATCTATTCTCATAATTAACGCAACAAATTTTCTCACGTTACATTTTTCTATCCTAAATGATGATAAGTGGACGGAAATATAATAATGGCTATTTTCATTTAACTGTTATAACCTTTTTCTCCATTTTATTTCTGGTTTCCTAAATAAGTTTTCCAGAAAAATCAATAGTATAATATGTTAATGGCTGCTTATTTGATTGTTTTCCGCGGATTTATGCGAAGTTAATAGTTTTATCGTCAAGAGAATCTCTACATCCCGCTAGCTCTGCTCATTTGTTACTAGCTAATCGTACAGTTCTACTCTAATGCTCTGTAAACACGCTTCCAACATTATTTTGATTCAAATGCATCTGTCGAAACACTATTTGGTGTAAAGTGTCAAAAACAGAACAGAATGGTATTGTTCTTGAAGAAAATCACTTCATCGATTTCCACTCTTTAGATAATTGTAAAAGACGTAAAATTAAAATAGTGGCCAATCACTTCCATAGTCTTATAACTATATCAAATGCTCCAACGTATTCGTAAATTGCTTTTCTCCGCTTTAACATTTTACCCCAAGGGAATATTCTCTTTTTTCTTCACTGCATATACAAAAAATGTTATCGATTAAGACATATCTGTATGACAGAATATTTTCTTTTACCATCTTGTAGCCTTGATTGAAATCATTCCTGGTCTTATTATAGTCGAGCCGACTACAAGTCTGCTAAACAAATGTTGACTTTGAGGGGAAACAAGTTTATCAACACTATATGAACCAACAAAACAAGTTATTGAGATAAATATCTGGTAATAAAAGGTCAATCTGAAGGCTAATGTTGTTTTTATCACTTGTTTAAAAAGGTATTTTTATTTCACTTTTCACATTGTACATGTCCATTCAGTCGGGTCAAATAAGTTTAAATCAAGATTTTTTTCTCCCGGGTAGACCTTAATTGTTTAACACTCAAGGAGAAATGACAATAGTTTATTGTTAACAGAGAAGGAAAATAAATTTTTACTTTTAACATAATTTTTTTTATTATGAACATTAAATTTCCACATATTCAACTGTTATATGAGATAGAGCTATATTGGGCCTTGTTATATCTAATGGACCATACATTTTAAAAAGATGGTTCAATATAATATTCGATGAATCCGAAACTAAAGTTAATTCATATGTATCCTTACATCATTTTAATTAAAGTGTAATTTACAGTATGTTTGTAATATAATAGTTTAATATGTTTTAGCTATTGTATAAAATGTGGTACTCGTACATTTAGGAATATGATAAGATTTTTTCAATTAAGAATAATTTTAGTGTAAACTTTTTATTGTTTTTTTATTTGTTTGTGACTGCAAATTACACATGAAAGCGCTACACTTGTATAAATCAAGATGAATAAAAAGATGTTATTCGAAACAACACTTCTTGTAAAATATCCATCAAAAGTATTTGTTTGATGAGAAATGTATACGTTTCACACATGATAGGGCTGCATGTAAGATAAAAAGAGAGTTCGTGATAGAATGAAAGGTGATGCAAGGGTGAATGCACATGGAGAGGTTCACTTGATTATTAATGTTAGTGGGTATGGAACGTTTGAAAGGCTTTAGATAGTGTGTGTGATCGGGGGACATATTCCCACGTGTTGTTAGATGATTATTTTATATTGTGAAATGAAACTTCATATTCTATACACGTATTTAGTTTTATGCTGAAAGGAATTTATATACAAAGTTATTCTATTTATTTCACAATTCAGCATAAAACAAGCTATGTGATAAATAAATGATCTTTAAATGACATTTTTGTGTTATATTTCAGCCTATTATAAATATCTGTGCAGGATAGATACAGGATGAACAGTTGTGTATAGAGATTTATTGAGAGATTTATTGAGAGATTATTTGTACGTCGTTAAATGTCAGCAGTTGTATGGTTTGAATAGTCAAATACTTGTGTCAAGTGCTTAGTAGTTAGTCCATCTTGTCAGATGAACAAATATTAAACCCTTTGAAAATGTCTAATGGTCAATATGTAATTATAATTTTCCTTTGTAAGCGGCTTTCATGTTACGAAAATGTTTTCATAGGTCTTTGATAAAACCTGTCAAAAATAAAAACTGAACAGAAAAGGGCTGGACTATAAAACATTGCAAACTTACCAATCACTATCACTACAGCTAAGACTCGTGTGATAAAAATACATCATTATTTGGTTAGATTGTTTACTTTTTTAACTGTTTTATAATAATTATTAATATATAATCGTCGTAACCACAGTCCGTCCTCCTTTTCCCCGAATGTGACCCACCGAATTAGACTTGTCACTGGGTTTGTACTTACATGAGCAAATTGACGGGTGCCACATGTGGAGCAGGATCTTCTTACACTTCCGGAGCAACTGCGATCACTCTCGATTTTTGGTGGGGTTCGTGTAGCTCAGTCTTTAGTTTTCTATGTTGTGTTTTGTATAGTTTCAATATTTTTCCTTTTGCCATGGTGTTGTCAGTTTATTTTCGACTTATGAGTTTGAATGTCCCTTTGGTATCTTTCTCCTCTCTTTTATAAAATCTAATGAATTTACTAAAGACCATAATATTTCCAGTTTTTTAGTTTGTTCTGAATGCAAAAGATAACACATTGAAGTATCATGATGAAAAGGTTACTAAGATTAACGAAAAATATATGTTACACATTTTAAGCTTTTGGAGTTTACTTGCTGATTTTGTATTCCCATTTATCTGTTTCAAACGAAGTAAAGGGTGTACCATAGTAGATGTAATAGATCTTTGGGCGTACGTATGGTATACTATTGCTGTACCGGTACGGTACGAAGCGGATACTACTACTGCAAGAGTCAGTTACTTTAAAATCACATCAATAAGGAAATACATCTTAAAATAAAACCGTAATTATTCTGTAGGTTATACCATCGGTGTCATGACCCTATTACAACCTCAAAGGCGACAGGATATACGATACAGACTAATTATAGTCATTTCTATATAACTGATAACATCGATCTCAACATACATGTATGTAATTATAGTAATGTTTGTCACAAATGCCAAAGTTTAGTTCTATTTAACTAAATTATATTAGTCGTGTATATTTAAATCGGACACTACAAAGTTCATCCAGGGAAGCAACATATATATTTGCTATTTCAATATTTCATTGTGTTTTAGAACAAACGAACAAAGAATTTATATATGTTGTAAAACGCTTTGTTATTTAATTAAATGTAAAAATCAGATTACAAACAATAAAACTTGCTATAATTATACTCTTTATTTCTCTAAATTTAGAAAAAAAAATTAACTATGTGTTATAGAATACGGAAATTTGTTTAATGTGGGTGGTAACCGTCTGTATTACAATTAATTAAACATAGTAAGAAAAAATCAATTCCACGACTTTTAAAGTTATCGCTTCAAAGATCGTTACAAAAGACATGAATAAAAACATCATACTGTCAATGGAAGAACTCTGATTTATATTTCCGTATCAAAAGAAATATTACGTGGATAAATTGATTTTAACAATTGCCTTTTATTGGTGCGAATAATACCTCAAAGAGATGACAGTGACTCTCGAATTGATTTTAGAGTATATTTTATTACTCTATATGGTTTTTAACATCTGTCTAAGATGTGTTTTATTTGAATTCGTTTTGTATGGAATTTCACTTTAAAATTGCCATAAGAAAGACATGATAGTTTGTATGTCAATTCTTGATTATAAATTTTACACGACTTATCGCCAGATTTTTGCTTGCCAATGCGACGGGAGCCAATAGTAATGCATGCACTGCTGTTTTCTCGAAACATTTTGTATTCATCCTAGGTTTATGATTGAGTTCATGTTGTTCAATCTTTAGTTTTTCTGTGTAGTGTTTGTGGACTGTTATAACTTTGTCTTTCTTTGTCTCTTGGTCATGTGTTGTCTTACTTTCTTTGTCTCTCGGTCATGGTGTTGTCTTTCTTTGTCTCTCGGTCATGGTGTTTTACTTTATTTGTATCTTGGTCATGGTGTTGTCTTACTTTCTTTGTCTCTCGGTCATGGTGTTTTAATTTCTTTGTCTCTTGGTCATGGTGTTGTCTGTCTTACTTTGTCTTTTGGTCATGGTGTTGTCTGTCTTTCTTTGTCTTTTGGTCATGGTGTTGTCTTTCTTTGTCTCTCGGTCATGGTGTTTTACATTCTTTGTCTCTCGGTCATGGTGTTTTACATTCTTTGTCTCGTGGTTATGGTGTTGTCTGTCTTTCTTTGTCTTTTGGTCATGGTGTTGTCTGTCTTTCTTTGTCTCTCGGTCATGGTGTTTTACATTCTTTGTCTCGTGGTCATGGTTGTGTCTGTCTTTCTTTGTCTCTTGGTCATGTTGTTGTCTTACCTACTTTGTCTCATGGTCATGGTGTTGTCTGTTTTTCTTTGTCTTTTGGTCATGGTGTAGTCTGTCTTACTTTGTCTCTCGGTCATGGTGTTGTCTTAATTTCTTTATCTCATGTTCATGATGTTATCGGTTTTTCTTTGTCTTTTGGTCATGGTGTTGTCTGTCTTTCTTTGTCTCTCGGTCATGGTGTTGTCTTACCTACTTTGTCTCATGGTCATGGTGTTGTCTGTTTTTCTTTGTCTTTTGATCATGATGTCTGTTTTTCGTTTTCTTTTGGTCATGGTGTTGTCTTACATTCTTTGTCTCATATTCATGATGTTATCTGTTTCTCTTTGTCTTTTGGTTATGATGTATTCTGTCTTATTTTGTCTTTTGATCATGATGATGTCTGTTTTTCGTTGTCTTTTGGTCATGGTGTTGTCTTACTTTCTTTGTCTCATGTTCATGATGTTATCTGTTTTTCTTTGTCTTTTGGTCATGGTGTTGTCTGTCTCTCTTTGTCTCTTGGTCATTGTGTTGTCTTACCTACTTTGTCTCGTGATTATGATGTTGTCTGTCTTTCTTTGTCTTTTGGTTATGGTGTTGTCTGTCTTACTTTGTCTATTGGTCATGGTGTTGTCTGTTTTTCTTTGGGTTTTGATCATGATGATGTCTGTTTTTCTTTGTCTTTTGGTCATGGTGTTGTCTGTCTTACTTTGTCTCTTGGTTATGGTGTTGTCTGTCTTTCCTTGTCTCTTGTCTGCCTTTCTTTGTTTAATGATCATAGTGTAGTCTGTCTTATTTTGTCTTTTGGTCATGGTGTTGTCTGTCTTTCTTTGTCTCTTGGTCATGGTGTTGTCTGCCTTTCGTTTTCTCTTGGTAATGGTGTTGTCTGACTTTCTTTGTCTCTTGGTCATGGTGTTTTCTGCCTTTCTTTCTGTAATAGTCATGGTGTTGTCTCTATTTCTTTGTCTCTTGGTCATGGTATTGTCTGTCTTTCTTTGTTTTTTCTTGGTCAGGGTGTTGTTTGTCTTTCTTTGTCTCTTGGTCATGGTGTTGTCTTTGTTTTTCTCTCGGTTATGGTTGTCTTTCTTTGTCTCTCGGTCATGGGTGTCTTTCTTTGTCTTTTGATCATGGTGTTGTCTGTCTTACTTTGTCTCTTGTTCATGGCGTTGTCTTACCTTCTTTTTCTTTTGGTCATTGTGTTGTCTATCTTTCTTTGTCTCTTGGTCATGGTTTTGTCCTACTTTCTTTGTCTAATGGTCATGGTGTGAGTCTTTAATTGTCTCTTGGTCATGGTGTTGTTTATCTTGTCTCTTGGTCATAGTGTTGTTTGTCTTTTTTCACTTGGTCATGGTGTTTCTCTTTCTTTGTCTCTTGGTAATGGTGTTTTCTTACTTTCTTTGTCTTTTCGTCAAGTGTTCTCTGTCTTGTTGTCTCTTGGTCTTAGTGTTGTTTGTCTTTCTTTGTTTCTTTGTTTTTTGGTCATGGTTTTGTCTTACTTTCTTTGTCTCTCGGTCATAGTGTTGTCTGTCCTTCTTTGTCTCATGGTCATGGTTTTGTCTGTCCTTCTTTGTAACGTGGTCATGGTGTTGCCTGTCTTCCTTTGTAACGTGGTCATGGTGTTGTCTGTCTTCCTTTGTCTTTTGGTCATAGTGTTTTATGTCTTTCTTTGTCTTTGGGTGACGGTGTTGTCTCTCTCTTTATCTCTTGGTCATGATGTTGTCTTTCTCCTCGTCTCTTGGTCCTTGCATTGTCTTACATTCTTTGTCTCTCGGTCATGGTGTTGTGTGCTTTTCTGTGTCTCTTGTTCATGATGTTGTTTGACTTTCTCAGTTGTCTCTTGGTCATGGCGTTGTCTTTCTCTTCGTTCCTTGGTCTTGATGTTTTCTTTCTCTTCGTTCCTTGGTCTTGATGTTTTCTTTCTCTTTGTCTCTTGGTCAAAGCGCAGTTTGTCTTTCTTTTTCTCGTGGTGATGATGTTGTCTTACTTTCTTTGTATTTTGATCATGGAGTCGTCTGTATTTCTTTGTTTCCTGGTTATGATGTTGTCTCTTTGTCAAGGTTTATCTGTCTTTATTTGTCTCGTGGTACGTTATGATGTTGTCTCTTTGTCAAGGTTTATCTGTCTTTATTTGTCTCGTGGTACGTTATGATATTGTCTCTTTGTCAAGGTTTATCTGTCTTTATTTGTCTCGTGGTAAGTTATGATGTTGTCTCTTTGTCAAGGTTTATCTGTCTTTATTTGTCTCGTGGTACGTTATGATGTTGTCTCTTTGTCAAGGTTTATCTTCTTTATTTGTCTCGTGGTACGTTATGATGTTGTAGCTTTGTCAAGGTTTATCTGTCTTTATTTGTCTCGTGGTACGTTATGATGTTGTAACTTTGTCAAGGTTTATCTGTCTTTATTTGTCTCGTGGTACGTTATGATGTTG